CCCAAGAATGGAAAAACAAGCACCACATGTACTCACCATCAAATTGGTATTAACTGATCAACACATAAGCGTACATATAAGAATAACATCTATTGGATGTCGGGCAGGGGGGAGGGGGGAGGGAGAGGAGGAGACGGGTATATGCATACACAAAGAGTGCAATGCGCACCATCCAAGAGATGGACACGTTTGAAACTCAGACTTGGAGGGGAGGGGGGGCAAGGGCAACATACGTAACCTAAACATCTGTACCCCAGTAATATGCTGAAATAAAAAAAAAAGGAAAAAAAAATAAAAATAAAGTGAACTATCAAAATGAAGGATTAAAGGGTAAACTTGTACTGTTCTTACTTTGCTTTGAGTTTGTTCCACTGATCCCCTCTACTGGGGGTCTTCCTGATAGCTTACTGTACCCATTTTGTCCCCAGGGCCACAGGGAGAGGGCTAGAGGTAGCTGATCTAGTCAGATTTTAAATGAAACTGAAATGAAAGTTCACTTCCTCATTGCAGATACCTCATGTGACAAGTTCCAATTTCTTTTTAAAGTCAATTTGACTGAAGTTTCCTTGTTGCCTCTGAACTCTTTGGAGAGAGCTCACAAATTCAAGGACTCTTACCACGGGAGCACCTGCTGGTTCTATCATGTATGTACTGTTTTATTCTTCTTCTGTCTTTGGTCTTTAAATGCTCTGTTTACGTTTTTTAGCTCGCTCTGCGTGCCAGGTTTTAAATCTTCGGTTACAGGAAGTAAACTAAAAAATCATGTCACTTAATTTGTCTCTTCTCTTTCTGATTAAAACGAGTCTATTTTTTTTTTTTTAAAGTTAGTGTTTGCTTGAGCCTCTAAGTTGAGGCTGAATCATGGCTTTCTTTGGAATATAATTTGAAGGTTTATATGGTTCATTCCAAATGTTTTGAACTACAAAGCAACGGAAAAGAAGTAGAATCCAGGTTGAGGGAACTAGTCACTGAATTTGTGTTAAAGTCTCTTTGAAAAAGAGTAGTTAATTGCTTCATTTGAAATAGATATTTGATCATTGAAAAAAAGAGTTTAGAAAGGAAAATTACCTAAGGATGTGAAAGCAATGAATGGGAGTTGTCTTTTAACTATCTCTAAAAGTTGTAGATATTTAAATAGACAAGTTAAGAAAAGCTCATAATTCAAAAATTCAGAAGATAAACTGATTTTTCAGAGGTTTGTCCTCTTCTTAAGGATAATTTTTTTTTTTTTTGGAAAGAGGATTTCTCTTGATTAGATTTGTTGGCAAATCCTGGAAAACCCCTGCTTTTTAATCCCCTAGATGTGTTTGATTTACCAGATATTGGAAAATTTTTGAAAATTACTTTTTAAAGTGTTACTAAGTATTGGAAGTAGTATTTCAGGCATAAATCTGCAGCTATTCCCTGTGACTATATACCCCAGGAAGTTTCCTGTATAATTCTGATTTATAATAGTCATCCCTTTGATGGACTTTGTATTGCTATTTTTTGTTATGAAAAAGTATGGTCACAATAGATGAAGCTAACAGCTACACTTTCTGTGTTACCTTTCCTTAAACAGAATGAAAAGGCTGGTTTGGGTGCTCTTGGCGTGCTGCTCTGCAATGGCACAACTGCAGAAAGATCCTACCCTGGATCATCACTGGCGGCTCTGGAAGAAAACCTATGGCAAGCAATACAAAGAAAAGGTAGACGGGACTGTCACTCAAGCAACACGCTTTTACACGAGTACCCTGTTTTCTACCTCTCAAAATTACATTCTTACAAGCAGTGTTTTCAATAAATATTTATGCACTCATTTCTTGCCAGATACTGTTCTCAGTACTGCATAGCAGGAAACAAAACGAAGGTCCCTAGTACTCTGGGAGGCCA